GTGCAGCTGTCATCAAGTTGAACCGAATGTACGCGGGTCCAAAGAAAGGTACATATCAACAATTTTCGCGCTTTGAAATTTTGACGCGTACTTTATCTAAAACTAAATTTTTTCCAAACATTTTCGTTGACGTTGCTTAGATGAGGTAACCATTCAGGCCTCGCATTAAAAGGTGTTGCGAACTCTTCGGTTGTTCTAGTTAATTGTGCTAAAAAGCGGTTGGATGGAAAGTATGACAGCTACGGGATACAAGGGACGATTGAGGTCTTTATCTTGCGTTCTGCGTATCGAAACATCGGTATCCTTGGTGTTACATTGCGATCAGCTGGTCGCCGATCGTCCTGTTTTTACGCATAATGTAAACAAGCCCCGGAAGCGCCAATCTCATTTCGATGTGTTTGTGCACCCTTACAAGCTTCCTTTTGGCTCTTGTGGAAAGCTTTATTGTAATAGCAATATTCTCATCGGTCGTTCGAGTTGCATGCGCCACGGTGATATCTGCTGTGTGTGATCTGCTGACAAACAAGTCTTTATTAAATGCCAGAAGGAGAACGAAGGTAAAGCTTTTTAAATTTTTTTTTTTTACAAAACAGGGCAAAGCTTCTAAAACAAGAGCATCCTAAGCTGATATTTGAGTGTGCTCATGAATGAATGGCAAAAGGTGCTTATGCTAAGTGGTAGATGTACACACTTGATTTTCTTTTTGCCTCTGCACTGTAAATTGGAAGATATGTATCAGCAGAAGACACGTTTCCTTTTGAAAATATCTTTTAAAAATAGGTTTGCATACACAACCGAAGAGTTCGCAACACCATTTAATGCGAGGCCTGAATTGTTATATCATCGAAGCAACATCAATGCACATGTTTGTAGCCGCAGACCGATAAATTTAGGTTTAGTAAAAGTATGCGTCATAGTTTTAGCCTCAAACGCGCAAACATTGTTGATATGTACCTGTCTTGATGACAACTGCACCAACGTAAGAGAGCCCACGTCGTAGAACACTTCCACACATATCTTGACTATGGTATGGCAAGATTTCTTGCTTGAAGTGAAGATCATCTCGCTACGACTAGCTACGACCACCCACCGCAGCGATGCCGGCGTCGAAGGGGCGCAAGGCAGTCAGTCGCCGTCACCCGACGCTGCTCGTTTGGCATTCACGGCTTTCCGCCCAGGTGCTTCGTTTGTACTTGGCACCGAGTGTTATTTCTGTGCTTGTGTGTGTGCTCAGTGGCTGGATATGGGCCTCAAGAGCAGTTCTTCAAGCTCAATAGCGTTCGCCGAAGAACTTCTTAAAAAAAAATGCCATCCAGGAAAAAAAGCACGAAGACACAACGCACCAGCTTGGCGAACTATGTATTGGGCGCAGAAATCAGGCCCTGCGGATTATACACCAAACGCAAACTATCTAAACAAAAAAAAACATTTTTAGGCTCAAATTGGTTTCTGCGGACTATACGCCTGGACACTGGTGCCTCTTAATATGCATTGTATATTCACTGCTGTTTGTTGTGGCTTGAGACTGCCTCCCTGTAATGACTCAGAGGGGTCAACTGCACCTTGAAATAAGCATATTTAATGAAGCCAGATGGTCAGGGAAAAGGTGTGCCATTACCTAATTTGCCAACAGCACACCAATGGTCACGATCAAAACTCACCGAGTCAGTGGGCAGTTTGCCACCACAATATTTATAGCCGTGTAATCATCAATTTGGTCCCTTAAAAGCCTTGAGGCTGTAGCCTATAGCACACCCATTCTGGATCTGCAAAGTTTATGCTGTAGACATGCATCATCACATGAGCATGTTTCTTATCAATCTTAAACGTAAAACTCTAGTTATGCAACGAAATTCCCATATCATCACATTTCTAGCAAACTGAATGGTTCCACCTGCTACACTTTTAGCTTTGGAAGTAAACCAATTCACAATACCACCAGTGGCATACATCGTGCCCAGCATTAGTGCCGCATGTGGCAGCAAAATGTCTTAACTAGGAAAGCAAACCTAATCGATCGTGTTGATTAATGCACATAGACAACGGAGAAATTATCAATCAAAAAAGGTCACTCGAAAGGGAAGTTTTCTCGCTCAACGAACATGAATTTTTATTGGGCGTTCCGCAATGTAAGGCCGAAGACATTCACTCCGGGATCGGTACAGAAGCATTTGCTTAGTAGTCGGTCGTGCATGATAAAAACAACAAAAACAAAGGTGGATTAGAAACGGGATAGATTCGCCTTTGCACGGAGTACTTATACTTAAAATCGTGTCAACATAAAGCGACTATAGCCCACCTTGCTAGCAGCAATCTTAAAATTTATCCGTGTAGTCGTCACACCCGTGCACCAACCGAAAGCGTTGCTGCAAGCCCCTCCGCCGTCAACTTTGAGTCGCTGTTGAGTCTGAAGAACTGCTCTATGAGGTCTATATCCAGCCACTGAGCACATACACAAGCACAGGAACTAATACTCGGTCCCAAGTACAAACGAAGAACCCGGGGCGGAAAGCCCTGAATGCCAAACGATCTGCGTCGGGCGACGGCGACTGACTGCGAGTACACAGGTTGTGCTCCTTCGACGCCTGCATCGCTGCGGCGGGTGGTCGTAGCTAGTAAGAGCAGATCGTGTCATCTCCGTAGCTCGTACCGGAGCACTAGAGCCGCGTAATATTCTTGCTGCCGAAGTTTATAAGCCTACATTCGCGGCCAACGCATTTACACAAATCCAACGCCCAGCGAACCTATCCCCCTCTTTCTCTTTCGGCGACCGGCCGCCAGGGCGGTGACACCGTAGCTGAAACTCCTTAATAGAGATCAGTGGTTCTATTACTCAAGCCACCTACACTGTGTAATCACGGAAGCCACTAGAGACGAGCAGAAATCGCGCAAGGACCTTTTCCGGCCGGTTCAGTGTTTTCCCGCTAGGTGCCGTCCGTTTTGCTGGAGTCGCGAATAGGGTTTGTAGGAATAGGGTTTGTCACAAGGAAAAAGAGAAGGACGCAGGGATGCGCGAGAGGCGCGCGAAGAGAGCACGAGAGTGAACCAGTTTTCGGCTATTAGCGATGTGCGCGGCCAAAAGACTCGCTATGGTCAGCTTTCCACGATTGGCCAAACCATGGGCACATGAGCACTGTCAGATTGTCAACTTTGACGGTGTTAGTTTCGGATTGCGATAGCTCCTAGCTTCTACTGTGCCTTTTAAACACACCGTCGAACTCGTCGTCACACCCAATGATAAGTAGCAATAATAACAACTGGTGACGTCATGGTAAGGCACAAATCCCAGTTGTGACGTCACGGAGGGAAACCATAAGAGGGCGCCACCGACACATCTCGGCGCTAATGCCTACCAACGAACAACCCTGACGTTTATTTCCTTTTTTTTTTGTAAATATGTAAATATAATATATTGTGGCGCTCGCGACTCCTCGCTTTCATACGAACCCACGAATTGGTGACCCGGACGTGATGGACTCAAACATCGTGCTCATCCGTCAAGGCAAGTACCTTTTAGGTAAATGGTAAGCTAGAACGAGAGGGACAAACACAGACAGGGATAAACAGAGACATAACACCGCTGACTATCAACTAAGACTTTATATTTCTTCTTCATCACTGTGACCCACAGATTCACACCTAAAGTAATGCCATGAATGACCCTAAATCCTTACAGTACACTACTAAATCAAAATACTGATTAAATAAAATTAAATTAAAATCGAAACTAATTAATTACATTAAATTATTTATTATTAATTATTAATTTTGGTCCAACCCACAGACCACCGCCGAAACATATCCCTCCTAGTCCCCTCTCTCGGCGTCGTGCCACACTGCAAAAACTGCCTTTCGTGCTGACCGCGATGGAGGGCATGCTCACGCAGTCGTCGCCGGTTTGCTCAATGGCCAGGGCCTCGAGGATCTCGCGCGCAAAAGCATTCCTGTGTCTGTTGATAATGGAGACGCTACTAAACCGTGGCCTGCACCCGCACGTGCGGCAATGGGCAGCAAGGTGCCCAGCTCCCGTGCCTTGCACCGACGCCGCGTGCTCCCTGAATCTGTCGTTAACGCAGCGTCCCGTCTGCCCAATGTAGCAGCTCCCACATGACATAGGAATCTTGTATACCATAACTATGTACCAACTAGCTCAACTTCAGCCTGTTATTTAGGCAAGTACCTCTTTGGCGTTCAAATCCTTGGAACTGCCCTATCACCCGACGCACATTCACTCAGTCAATCATGAGTCACTCAGAAGACAGCCCAGCAGCTGCCGCAGTTGCTTCAATAAATTTCAAACTGCCGGAATTCTGGTCCTCGGACTCGGAACTTTGGTTCTTGACTATCGAGTCCTCGTTCCTGAAGAATAAAACTTCCCAACAGTCCAAATTTTACCACGATGTCTCGTCACTGCCCCAAACAATGGCGGCGGTTGTCCGGGATATCCTGCGTGCACCCCCTCAAGATATGCCGTACGACATGCTCAAGGCTGAGCTTATACGGCGTACGACGGAGTCCAAACAACGGCGACTTCAACAGCTTCTGACATCAGAGGAACTTGGAGACGGGAAACCATCGGAGCTACTTCGTCGTATGGAGCAACTTCTGGTTGACAAGGCAAATACCTTGGACGCAAGCATACTCTGAGAATTATTTCTCCAGAGTTTTCCCACGTCTTCATTCGGAACGATGCTGCAAAGCGATAACTTCAACCTCCGTACAACGGACCATACGAACTCCTGCGCAGAGACGCCAAGCGTCGCACAGACATAGTGTCTATCGACCGACTGAAGCCTGCATTTCAGGAACGTCCGCAACCTTCCTCATCCGTGAATCTCCTCACTGCGCCCCCCCAGAAGTAGCAGCGGACTGTGGTTCAAGTATGGCGGACTGTGGTTCCAGTATGGCGGAGCGCGGACGCATTTTCTCGTGCCTCCGTCTCTTGCTTTGCGCTGTGAGTATCCTCGAGCTCCGTCGTGTCTCACCTACCACGCCGAGACATGGCGATCACTTTGCCGACCACGGTATTACGTGGCCTGCCCGGATCCCCGACGCTGCTCGCGCTCAAGACTCGCTTGGCCACTGGCTAAGCACTAAGCCTAAAGCTGCGCTGGTCCGCTCCATCTGCGTCCGCCAACCACAGATCGTCTTGCTGCTGCTTCTTGCTGGTGATGTGTCATCAAATCCCGGCCCCTGTCCCAGTTGCCTTCGTTGCGGCCGGTCCGTCTACGAGAACGTTGCTGCATTGCAGTGGGATAAGTGCGACTCCTGGCTCCACCGAAAGTGCGAACTGCTCTCCCTGCACTCCTACAGACGCCTGTCGTCGTCGGAGGAGGAATGGTATTGTGGTGCGTGCCAACTCCCAGCTTTTGACGATGAGCTGTTCCCCACATGCCCTACGCCTGCATCTCGGGGCTCTGACCCGACCCGCGATCCAGTGATTGCCAATGCCACGCCGCATGGGCAGCCCCAAGCCAACCTTGCAGTATGGTTTTCAAACGTCCGTTCTGTTAAGAACAAACTGCTCGATTTTCAAGCGCTCGTTGAATCCTCTGCAGATACAGTGTTTTCTCTCTGCGAGACGTGGCTCGACCCCTCAGTGCCAGATGGGTTACTTGTTGACACTGCTCGACATGTGGTACACCGGAAGGACCGTGCAGGTCGTAGTGGCGTTGGAGTTATGTTTGTTGTCCCTCGACACTTGATTTGCCGGAGGCGTCAGGACCTTGAAGTTGCTGGCCTTGAGGCTCTCTTCATTGAAATTGCCCACAAGCGAGGGAAAGTGCTCTTCGGCTGCGTGTACTGTCCTCCATCTACCCGAGTTGCGGCCTATCACCTGCTTAATGACGCTCTGGAGCGTGTCACCGTAAGCTCCTATTTAAATGTTTGCACACTTGGTTATTTTAATGCCCACATCGACTGGACAGACATAACAGCCCCCGTCCCGTTGGCACCAGATGATGACACACTCCTGGACATGATGGAATCAAATGGACTTGTTCAGCTTTGTGACGAGCCATCGTACTACTCGAGTGCAAAGAATGCCTCTTTTCTGGATCTGGTCTTCACCACGAACCCGGCCCTCATCTCCACCTGTTCCCTGGAGCCCAGCCTAGATGGGTCTGACCACAAAGCTATACATCTGGAGAGCCTCCTGTCGCTTCCCAAGTTTGGACGGTATGCAAGAAGGGTCAAGTTGTTCTCTCAGATGGATGTCGCCCACCTCACCAATCTTGCGCATCTCGCTCCATGGATAATTGCCATAAACGAGCCGTCGGCAAGTGACTCGTATGATATCTGGCTCGACCTCATAAGTGCAATAGAAAAGAAATGTGTCCCCGTCAAGAACAGCACTGGACGGCGGAGGTCTCCCTGGATAACAGAGAGCATCATTCAGCTTACTCGAAAGAAGCGCAAACTCTTCAGACGGGCAAAGAAAACTAACCACCCGCGCCACCTCAGTATGGCACGGAAAGCCCAGAGAGATTTAAAGAAAGAAATCTACACCTCGTACAGGTCTTACGTGGAGACCATTGCCCAGAAGGCAGCCCGATCACCGAAACTGTTCTGGTCATATGTTAACCATCGGAGGAAGTCGTCGTCCTCGCCAGAGTTCACGGTCGATGGGACCGTTGTGGAGAGACCCCAAACTGTTGCAGAACTCTTCAGTGCCTAGTTCTCCACAGCATGGACTGTCCCTGACACTCCCAGTGCCGTCGACACTCGCACACCCCCGGGTCTAGCACCGCTCGGCCACAAAGACATAGGGGTGGGCGATGTTGCTGAGGCATTGAGACACCTCAAGCCCTCCCAGGGTGCAGGCCCAGATGGAGTGCATCCAATGCAGTTGAAGGCCTGCTCCGAGCGTCTCAGCACTGTTCTCGCACGGCTGTTAGCAAACTTCCTGCAGGCAGGCTCCGTCCCCTCCCAACGGAAACTTGCCCGTGTCACACCAGTGCACAAAGGAAATGGGTCCCCGACCTCATCTGTTGCATCATACAGGCCCATTTCGTCTACGTCTGTGGTTTGCAGGACAATGGAGCGGATTCTTAATAAAAGGCTCCTTGAACACCTAGAGCAGTATGGGCTGCTCTCACCCTGTCAGTACGGCTTTAGGCCCGGTCGTAGCTGTGAGTTAGCCCTGGCCGAAACAGTTCCCACCCTAAGCTCTCACCTCGACAACCGCATTCCCTGTCAACTCTTGCAGCTTGACTTTAAGCAAGCTTTCGATAGGGTCGATCACAACATGCTGCGCCGCAAGCTATCCGAGATAAGCATTACAGGCTGCCTTGAGAATTAAATCTCTGACTTTCTGCGAAATCGCTCCCAGAGAGTTGTATTCCGGGGCGCAGTGTCGAGCCCCAAACAAGTCCTGTCGGGAATTCCTCAAGGAAGTGTTCTTAAGCCGACTTTGTTCAGCATTTTTATGAACGATGTGACGTCTTCCCTGCAGTGCACACCCCTTTTGTATGCAGATGATTTGACAATTATGCACCCAGTCCAGAATCCCTCCCAGTATCAGCAACTTCAGGACGACCTCAACACCGTCCATGATTGGTCTGTGGCAAACAAGCTCCCCCTGAACATTAACAAATGCTCATAAACCCTCATTACCACATCAAGAAGCCATAACACCAGACGGCACAGTTTCCAGCTGAACGGAGAGGAACTCCCCGCCACTAACCGTGCAAGACTTCTTGGTGTGACAGTAGATTCAAAATTAACCTTTTCGCCGCACATTGGGGAGGTGACCTCAAAAGCCTGCCGGATGCTCGGATTTGTGCGTCGAGTCACCCGAGGAGCTGGCCCCAGTGCATTGCGGGACCTGTACACTGCTCTAGTGTTCCCACAACTCGAGTACTGTGCTTCAGTTTGGGACCCTTACCAGAATTCACTGAAAGCGTCCCTCGAGAGTGTGCAGCGGCGTGCCGCCTACACAGTCTTGCGGTGCCAGGCTTCCCCTGGACTGCCACATTACCGCGACCTGTCCACGCAAGAACTTCTAAGGATGGTGGGGTAGAACCCCCTAGCACTTCGCCGGCAGGTTGCGTCACTCCGGCTCCTTGCTGACTGCCTCCTCCCAAGAGATCAGGAGCTCCCGCTGGTTAAAAGCTTTCGCCTTACTAGATCTGGTGGGCTACAGCCACCATTCGGTTGCACTGTGCGTCACCAGAACTCTGTCTTGGTGAAGTGTGTAACCCTCTGGCGCTTGCTGCCAAAGACGCTGACCGACTGTCCACCCCAGGAGAAGGAGGACCTTAAAGCCTGGTGCAAGGAGGCATCGGACTTCCTTCAGCAGTGATCTTCCATGGAAAAAACCTTGCATGCTTCATTGTCATATTTATTTATTTATTTGTTTCTTTTTCACAATATGTAGTAGTGCGGCACCACAGGACTCAGGTATGGGCCAATGGCCTTTCTGTAGTGCCGCAACCCTCCAGGGTTGAATAAAGATATTATTATATTATAAAGAAAGTTCGTTTTCAAGAAACAGCGTAAAACTCAACGCTCGTCAACCGGCTTCCTCTCTAGGGGGGGAGTATCTGTATAAACTACAGTCATAAGGAAGAAGAGAAGGACGCAGGGATACGCGAGAGGCGCGCGAAGAGAGCCCGAGAGGGAGCCAGTTTTCAGCTATACCTACCAACGAACAGCCCTCACGTTTATTTCCTTTTCTTGTAAATATGTAAATATAATATACTGTGGCGCTCGCGACTCCTCACTTTCATACGATAAACCTACAAGTTCATCGCAATTTAAAGGGGCCATGAAATGATTTTAGAGCGCAGCTCTTAGGCGTCCGTTTCCGGTTTGAGCGGCGTCGCCGTCGGCGTCGGCGTAACCGCGCGTTGCATTATGGGAAGCTTCCCATAATGACGTCACGAGGGTTACCCTCGTGAGGATTACAAGGGTTACTCTCACGAGGGTTACCCTCACGAGGATCACGAGGGTCACGAGCGTTACCCTCACGAGGGTTGCGGGGGTTAGTTACCCTCAAAAGGGTTACCCTCACGAGGGTCACGAGGGTTACTTTCACGAGGGTTACGAGGGTTACCCTCACGAGGGTCACGAGGGTTATGACAGCTTCCCTCACGTCCCCCCCCCCTTAAGTCACGTGACCTCAGGGACTCCTATCCCTCAGCGCCCTTCCATCCTCCTCCTCAAGAGCTGCGCTCTAATCCGGCGTTACAGGGAGTTGTAAACGGCTTTCATTTTTTCAACTTTTTGCTACTTAGATTTTGTCCTCAACCCAAAAGCAAAATTAGAAATCACGCGGTCTTGACGTGCTTCGGCACCGGTACTGTGATAAGCAACGTTGGGCATAACCTCCCCTATACTCACAAAGCCTGGCAGTTCGATGACGTAGGCGCGAGACACATGGGCGGCAGAATCGTCCGATCCGGCGTCCGATCCGACAGTCCTCGGAACGCCGCGCTTCGAATTGCCGCACGCGACAGTTTGAGACAGACGTTTCCGACCTTGCATGTGACACGACGATCCTTTCGGCTCCGCCCAGGAGATCCAAGCACTCCAGCGGAGGCCCGCGTTCTTAGATCTGTAGTCCCAGATTGACGGTTTAGCTCGCACGTGCGAAGTTCGGAGCTCTTTTTCACTAGCGCGTGCATTCTTTGCCGGGGCCATCCTTTTCGAACGGATCAGCGGAATCCACTCATCCGGCTTCCCGTCGCCCGTCCCGTTTTCTTGTTCGTCCCACCAGACCCAGTACATCATCATGACGTTCGCGCTAGCTGCACTGTCATTGGCTGGACGCTTCCGACAGTCCGTCCGCCGTGCGAAACAATCTGGCACGTTGGACGCACGCCGATTCGCCGATCCGACGTCTGAAGCGATCAAATTTTTCGGGTCAGGCAGTCGTACTGCCGGATTGGACGTCGGATCGGATGAATTTTTCGCGCATGTGTCTCGCGCTGTAGCCATAGAGCGCCCGGTCGCAGATTTAGAGCGCGAGGATCTGGTAGCAGAGATCATTTCTCGGGGAGTGCGGTAGTGAGCGCACAGCTCTTGAGCGGCGAGGACCCAAAACACAGTGTTCGCTATGGCTCGGGAGAAACCGATGCGACTGGCTGCTGATGTCGAGGCTATGGCGATTGCGGCCGCCGAGACCTGTGGCGGAGGCTACGCCGTCAGCGTGCTCAGCCTCGTCGTCGCATTGTGCAGCTGCGAACGACGTCTTCAGGGCACCCTCGGGACCATCTGCGTGGTCTGAATTGTGTGCCCTATGGCGCATGGACCGGCGAAAACTCCAAGCAGGGAATACTGACCTTTCGACGCCGTTCCCGCGTATCAATATCTGTATTCTGTAATCAAACAGCCCCGGCAGTTTGCCGCACAATTTTGAGCGTTACGGGTGAAACCAGCTGAACAACGAGGGAAGGAGAAACAGAAAAGACAACCTACCGCTGGACTACCAACTATTTTAATAAATCGTCCTCCTCTTCTACTACTTCTTATGCGTACCGATTTTGTTCCTAATCCTGGATTGTGGTGCCCCCTTCCTTCTATTTATACTGAGCCGTGAGGGCGCCCGGAAGAAAGAGCTTTCCTTGAGGTTGCAGGGTTATTGAGGCTAATAGCTTAGCTGGCTCCACCCGTAATTTATAACCAACTAGCTCAACTTATTCCTGTAGTAATTTTGAGCGCAAACGAAACAGACGAAACCGAAACGGAGGAACGGGGAAGGGGTGGCGTTCTATTTACCCTCGACAACAGGAGAAAATAAGTATAGTATATTTCGTCGTCTCGCCGCAGCGGGGCGCCCGTTACATGACTCTCCCCTTACCCGTTGCTTGCCGCTCTACCTTTCACTTCGGGCGGTCGCGTCACGTGACTTTCCACCAGACTTTGTCAGTATGGAGGAGGCTAGGGTACTGTTGACTCCAAGCTTTCCAGCTCGCGCTGCAGAACCCAGGATCCTGGGTTCAATCCCCAGCCCTGCCCGTTTCGACCTGGGTGAGCATCGTACCGGCGTGCGGTCGTGTGTCACTACTGCGTGATGCACGTTAAAGACCCCAGGCTAGCGGTTGTACTGCACTGGCTAAATTGCTCATCTACAGCTGGGAGACTCGTCGCCCGTCGAGGCAGACCAAGTGCTAGGCTGTATAGACCTTTCCAGAAAAGGGCTGCTGGCCGGTTTCATTTTCAGTGTTCGTGCGTATCGCGCGTGATTTGCTCGCTTTCCGAAGCGACGCACACGCGCGTGCTGAGCTGTGGAGATCGCAAGCTGAGCTGTAGATTTGTAAACATTGGAAAGGTCAATAAACATAAACACAACCCAATTTTTTTTCAAGCTTTCCACCGTCCTTTTTAAGCACACCATGAAAGTTATCGTTCGCAAGCTATGATAAGTGCCGTCCCGGCACTCATTGGCCACGAACGCGAATCCAAATATTCGTCGACGGGTTGATTGTTGGCGAGCGCATACGTCTAAGTGACCCAGTGCTCGTGTCCAATGCTTGAGCTGGGTAGGCTGACGCGCTTTGGAAACCACGAATGTATCACAATGAAAAGGCGAATGCCCTCGAAAGAAAGGAAGCATGAAATAGCTCGCTATATCTTCAAATTTTCGTACCCAAAAGCAGGTTTTTTTTTTACTTTCTAGCCTCTTTCTTTTGACCCACTAACCCAGTGGCTCTCAAACATTTATGTTTCGCGGAC